CTTAACCCGCTCCGTGACGGAGTGATACATAACCCAGGTTGATGCCAGAACATTATGCTCCGGTTAACAACCCTACTGATAAATATCCGATAGTAAGAAAAAAGCTCCCGATATTGAGAAATATACAGTGACCGATATATACCCAATATACTATACCGATATATTGAAGATATGTGTCTGATAAAAAATAAATGAAATTGGATGCCTGATAAGTGTATGATATATTTGAAAAAAATGTCAAAAAACAGAGTCTGATATATATCCAATATCTGTCAATATGTACTTGATATGTGTTCGAACTTTGGCACACTTACTTTACCTATCAGAAGCCTGATATATTAAAATTTATTGAAAATCAGGTACCTATCACATACCTATCGGATATCTGATAGGTATATGATAGGTACTAATTTTTCACAATTTGACCAGTGTATAATTTTTGTCAATTTCACGTGAACCCAAATCTGAATACTTATTCATAATTGTATTTGAATTCATTTCTGCTAATAACATCCATTCTGATTATGTCACCTTCTTATATTTATCATCATTATCTATTTATTCTTCTTTATTAATATTATCTTTTATACTATTTACAGGAGAACTGAACAAGTCATCACAATTATTGTCAATCTCTTCTCTATATAATTTGAAAAAGTACAACCAAGGAACAGTATTATTTATGGTAAACTACTTAAGACTTTAGTATTTTATATAAAGCAAAACTTTTAAATAGCAAAATTCTTCTCATTGAGAGCCATTAATCTGGGATGATGATCACAATCAGATGTAAATAATGTTTTCACATTCATATGGTTTCCATTGATTATTTAAAAATTTATATTTTAAATAAAGCTGGAAAAGTGAAATTTCTTTAAATTCACTAAGCCAGTTCCAATATTTTTGCAACAGCGATTGTAACGTCTTTCTAGTTCCATTAATTGTTACAAATTCACCTTTACTTCCAAAGTTACAAAGTAATCGTGAGGCATCTTTATTGAGATTTATTGATATAAATTACTAACTAGAATGATATAGAGAATACTGAGTAGCAAATGACATGTTTCTTGTGTAGATTGTGTAGAGATATTATGCTCTTCAACAGTATAGAGTAGTAGCTTTTAAAATGAGCCAAGAGATGAATTATTATGCTGGCTATTTGAAAGAATGCAGTTTAAAATCTCTAAAAAAGCTTTAGATCATGGCTCTGATTTACTTGTATATTTGAAGATATATTGAAGAGTAGCATAGGTAATAAAGATAAGCTTCAAATTAACATTTGCACATCAACTCTGAAGTTGAAATCGATTATGTGAATTGGTGCAAGGGTTATTCCCTACTGTGATAAATTCCAAATCACCACAATCGTTATTACATACAAAGGTTCGTTCTGCAGTTTCTTTTGAAAATTTAAATCTGCAATATTGTTTATCCCCATAATCAATGTAAAGACAATATGAAAGACTATATTTTGTATGATGTTGTAGTTTGTTAACTAACTCAATGTAATCTTGTAAATTGTTATATAACTCCATATTAAGCTTTTAACAAGGATGTCAATCAAATACAGATGCATCAATTCCTGAATTAATTGTGGTTAATAAAGAATCTAAATATCCAACTATTTTAACTATTAATTTATTGTCTTTTTTCATTTTCTCCCACTTGATTGCTGGTACATGTTTTTGTTTTCTGATGCTATGTACATAGACACTTTTCCGATGTTGCCATTCATATCTGTACCACCAATTCTCTAAATTCCATTTTGGGATTATACTTCTTCCAAGAATGATTTGAAACGATTCTCAAAGAACCATTTAGCAATATGTGAATTATTAATCAAGTTTTGGCATCGATGTTTAGTTGTATCTTGTTCTGATTCTCCTATTATACGTGTTGCCCAAATCTCAAATCATTTGGGATTTGGAACGCCAAAATCCCAAATTACTAGTATTTGGGATTTGGGATTTGGGATTTCGGCAAAAAATACTAATCATAATTTGGGATTTGGGATTTGGGATTTCGGCATTTGGGATTTCAGCATTTGGATTTTGAATTTGGATGGCAGGTATATCTCTTATCTGATTCTTATCATATTGCATAAGCTTGTGAAGTTCTGGCCAATAAAAGTTTATATCACTAAATGTGAAAAAAATCATCCCCTGCATTTTTAGCTATTTAATTATATCTGATAATTCAAATCACCATTTAATCCAAAATTGTCATGTTCCACATAAACTTTTACCGTATTGTATAATTTGGTCAGCAAAGTGGCAATTTTCATTATTCATTTCTTGAACTTCTTTAACTGTCAATTGTTTATCATTTAAACCCTGTTTAATATCAACCCTTCTTTCTTGCAAAGCTCTCCATCACATTTGTAAATTTAATGTAAAGTATCTCCAATAAGTGTGTTGGGCAAATCTATCGTCTTTGTATTTAAGCATATGTTGAAAATACTCTGCTGGTTTGATATCTCTTATACATTCCATTCTAAGATCAGCAGTTCCATATGGATACGATGTTGAAAAAGGCATGGGTAATATATTCAGGAGTGTGAAATTCATTAATAAGGTTACTATCAATATTTGGCTATGTAATTGGTTTATTTTTGACTTGTATTCAAGCAAGAGTACTGCTGATGGCATTATCTTCACAATGAGATAGAGGAAAGAAAGTAACAAAGTTACGTATAATTGTGTCATCAGTTTTTCATTATCAATAATTATATTTGTATAATAATGATTATTTTCTTTAACCAGGAAAGTGCTTGAGCAATCTTAACACGGTGGACATTAAAATCTCAGAAGGTTAATTCATTTGTAAATTTTCAATGTACCACGAGTGTATTCAATGATGATAGATGGCAAGGAAGTCATATCACAAACTCATGCACATCTTGAAAAAACTTTCTTGGAATAGTTTTGTCACTGTAGCAACGTCGGCACATTCCCATAACAAGTTTAATGGATGAGAAACGTTTATTGCATATAGGACAAAGTTTATTCTCAAATTTTTTTAGTTTAGTTTGAAATTTTTGCAGAAGTTTTCGATCAGGTTCAGGAAGCAATTCAGCTTTGATGGATGCAGAAAGTAATTGTCTGGAACATGGTTTAGGACCGATTTTTCAATTTATTTTTTATTTAAATTTTATTGTTTAATAAAAATAAACTTTTTTTATACTTGCCTTTGTTCTTTCACATTATTTTCTTGATAGATTATCACATTGTTTTCTTGGTGGCCCTCTACATTATTCCCTTGATGGTTAGAGCATATACCAGGTATTAAGCTAAGTTCCTTATGTATTGCTCTTCTTTTTTTTCTTTTGTTCTTTTTCTCTAATCAATCATTGTCTGCATTGTTCTTCAGTTTCATTGGCCTTTTTTCTGATTTTACTTTCACGATCACAAGTGTGACGTCTTTTACTTTGTTCCGGAGTTTCATTCTCTCTACTTTTACACTTTCTTTGCATTTCACGATATAATCTGTTCAATATTGTTATTAATACGATTAATGTTTGTTTGTTTTAATCTTAATTAATTACTTCTGTTTGTAGCTGAACAAAATTTTTACTGAATGATCTAATGTTTATATTGTGGTAACACAGAAATGTTCGTGACCACTGAAGGTGGCAGACAGAGGTGGTAGTTGCACCAAGTAGATTATGTGCCACCAATTGGGTGAAATACAAGGTAATTATTTATTCACCCT